ACCTAGAATCCAAGACCTTTACTTCCAAAATGTTATTGTTACCCAGATGACATGCATTACACCTTCCAAAACAAACACCTTGCTTCTATTCCAACTCCTTTTCATCTGATCTCCCTATGACTTTCCTACCAAACATCACTGTCACTTTTACTTCTATTTCTTACAGATTTGTCCTCTGCATCACTTGAAACTGCCACATTGCCATGCCCATATTGAGAAACATTTTAGTTTGGCCCTTTTTTGCTATGAAGTGGTGTCTCTAAAAAAAAATCTACTTGAACTCCCTCACCAGGATCCCCCACCCACCTGTGCCTTAACAGCAAGCGTTCCTGAAGCAATCTTCTCCATTACCTGCCTCACATGCACAGTATGTGTCCACTCTTGCCTCCTGAAGTTCTGTACAGCTCCATTGTTTGATGCCTCTCTACAGCTGTTCTTCCATGAAAATCAGCTCACCTCCCAGGTACTGCTCCTCACTTCTGGATTCCCTGGCCTCTTCCTGGCCATGGTAACTTCAAGGACCTATGCTGCCCCCTGCAGTTCCTTCAATCTCCTTCTACATAGGTGAGGACAGACTGCCCCTCCCATCTCCAGCTCTTCGAGGTCACCACTGCTCACCACTGGATCCGTGTCACACCTCCAAGGAACCAACTCAGCCACTCCACCTCTCACAAGAGGAACAGATTTCCTTTTCAGCAGACTACACAGGGACTTTTCATGGTAAGAAAAGGGTCCTCCTCTCACCAGATTCCATCATAGTTTGTCATGCAGCACCTTCATGACACAGGATCATCATTATCACTCCTCCCCACATTCAGGTCTGACCTTTGCCTGCCTGCTCCTGGTTCCTCAAAGGCCTCTTGTCCTCCACATTCTCCTGCTGCCCATCAGTATCTAGTACTGTCTCTTATGGTCTGTTGAGGGGCTTTCCCCACAGCCCTGGCAGCAATCTCCCTCTGAAGCACACCAGACCAGCTACATGAAGCAGGGTTTCCAGGCTTAGCAGTACTCAGGTGAAGAAGAATGAAAAAAGGGCTCAGGATTCAGACATAATGATAGGACCAGACAGTCAGATCTCCCCAGAAATCTGTTTTCTTTCAGGAAAATTTAAAGAAAAAGACATTTTATATTTATTATTCTGTTGATGATGAATGCCACTTTAAAGCCCTCAGGCAGGATCTTAAAGCACTAGGCAGTTCAGCTTCATCTAAAGAGTTTTGGTCAATCAACTTCCAACTTCATTGACCAGGATAGATTTATAACCTGGTTACACACACACAGGCATGCACACGCGCACACACGCACTATTCCAGCTCACTAATAGTGTAATACCTGTCAAGAAAAAAGTACTGTCTGTTAGAAAATAAATATTTGATATTTAACAATCTTGGATAATTTACGAATTAGCCCAAAAAGTCATCTGTCTTCTGTGATATCCCCTAACCACAATGCAATCTACCTCTGAATTTTTGAGGATGAAGAAGTCTATTTCATAATTCAAAGCAAAAGTCATTACTCTAACCATCACATTAAAAGAGCAGCAACCAAAAAAGTCATGACATTCAACTATCTACTTCCATTAGGGTCGAAAAACAATGTAGTCCTTGCCTTGTTCCAACATCTTTGTTGTATCCTTCTTAATGGGCATCACCTGGGAGGTGCTAAGTAAGAAAAAGCAAAATAGCCCCTATCGAAGTACCTACAAAATCTGCATCCTGGTTCTATACTGAGGTTCTCTATCACAATGAGAGCAGAACAGAGCTTTAGCAGTGAAAATAGTATGATAGAAAATTCAATACTATGTTTAGCTCTATAAGAGCAGAACATGGCATCTTTTCCAGAGGGAGGGAAGAAGGTTCTACCATACCCCTTCTGAACACATTTCGGAGCATTTAAAAGAGGTTTTATAAAAAGTGAAAATTCATATCTTAATTACTCACCTGAAACACTCTGGACATGAATGCTATACACAAGCCACAAACACAACAGAAGTAGTATATGTAAGAATGTCAACATTCTATCACTACAGTCTTACAACAGGCTATTCTCTATGGGAGCAACACCTATCAGGAATGTTGCACAAGAAGACTGCAGACATACTGGAGAACATAAACTAAGAGAAATGTTGAGGAGAACTAATTCAGTCCCTTATGGTCCTGGACACAGGAGCTTTTATTCTTCATTATTTCTAGAAAGAGATGCAACAAACTAAAAAGACTGGGGTGCCAAACTGTGCGCTCCAGCAACCAAGTCAAAGGAAAACAGACTGAACATGAACTGTTGGACCCAACTCATATATGTAAAAGAAATATCAGTCTCCAACAGCCTATTGGTTCTTAGATGATATCATGACATCACAGATTTTTAAAATGGGGGGAAAATGCATGCTAAAGTGTGTCCAATAAAAACCTATTTCCTTAAAAATAACTTCTGTGGCACTCAACTTAATCATAAGAAGGTACAGTTTAATGCAGGCAATGACTAATTTCTCCTTTCATCCATTATAAGTGTGCTTTTATTTAACATTATAAGAGCACAGGAAAAAAAAACTATACTTCAGTGAATCAGAAATGGGTAGTTCAACCTCACCTTTGGATTTGGGAATTAACTCTCCACAACTCAATATTCGTACTTCAGCATAAGGTTTACTAGATGCATCTGTTTTCTGGTTTTCTATCTCTCTCACAACTTCTTGACCTGAGATGACTTGTCCAAAAACTACATGATGTCTAAAGAGTTAAAACAAATACAAAATTAAAATATAGGCTTTCTATTGCAATAATATATTTTAAAAGTATTTATATTTTTCATAGCATTATCAACATTTTGATTTTCATAAATGCAAATAAAGGAGTTAAGATATTTATTTACCCATCTAAGTGAGGTGTAGGCTTGGTTGTTCTTTTGATGCCATCCAGAAGAATAATTAAAAACAGAATCAGAAAAAAAAAAGTTAACACTGCTATAAAGAAAAAATTTGCATTTGAAACAAAGTTGAGTGCATAAGAAATTGCAAGTTACCTTAAATAAATGGATATAAATTAATGATATTGTTTTACTTGATTTCAATGGACATGAATGATGTATACACACTTTAAGTACCAAGTATTATTCAAGAATGTCTGCTTCTCAACTCTTTACTTTATTTGATATAAATATTTTAAGAAAGTCAAATAAAGATACTGTTTCATAGTTGGTAGTGTCAGAAGGGACCCAAGCAGATCAAGTCCAACCCCCTGCCATGGGCAGGAAAGAGTACTGGGGTCAAACAACCCCAGATAGGTGATTATCTAGCCTGCTTTTGAAGACCCCAAGGGTAGGAGCGAGCACCACTTCCCTTGGAAGCTGGTTCCAGATCCTAGCCACCCTGACTGTAAAGTAGTGCCTCCTGATATCTAGCCTGAATCTACTCTCAGTCAACTTATGGCCGTTATTCCTTGTTACTCCCAGTAGTGCTCAGGGGAACAGGGACTCTCCCATTGCCTGCTGGTCCCTCTTGGCCAGTTTATAGACAGCCACCAGATCCCCTCTCAGCTTTCTCTTGTTTCATTATCAACATTTTAGATAACACCATCTGTAGTATTTTGTGATACCACATGTTGATTTGATCATGAGAACCTTTTAAAGGGCAGATTTAAAAAGTTCTGCAAATAGTCTTATAGATATTGGGGGGAGGGGGGGGAAGAAAGAGGTAAAAACTGCTGAGAACCGGCTACCTGACATTAGCAGCAGCCCTAGAACTGACAATTTATTAACAGATAATTTAAATGATTCCAAAAGCTTCTACTACTCTGAGACTAGGACTGGACATTACAAGACAAGTGTCAGCCACAATACAAGTTAAAAAATAGTCTGTAAGAGGCTAATGGTCCAATAACAACCCAAAAAAAAGGGCCAAATTGTAGGTAACATACCACTCACTACACTGAGGGAAAGGGCATTGGCAATTGTAAATTAAAATGGTCAATATCAAGGGAGAGAATTTTCCTCAAAAAAATCAAGGCTGTAAAAACACTGTGATATATTAAGCTTTAGCAGTGGTCCTGTTCCCATTTAAAATAGGACTACTTTTGGAAATGTTAAGATTTGTCTACTCCGGGCTACCAGAAGCCCCAGATTTCATTCTGTCCACCCAGACAAAACCTTTTCAGGTTTTTTTTTTTTTCATTCATTTTCCTGAGAGGGCACCTCACAGATTTACATTATATGCCCAGTTAGAAAATAGTTACTTAAAAATGGCAAGATTTTTTTTTTTTTTTTTATAATTGAGTATACAAGATGTACTAATCTAAAACTCAATAATAAATATAAGAAACTTATGATTTTTATTACTA